GTCCCTCTCCCTGCAGCTGGCTGAGTCCCTGGGCATCCCAGAGCAGCTCCTGCGGAAGGATGGTGGGCATATGACCTGCGCCCCAGCCTGCGGACCCAAACGAGAGCTGGAGGTGGACAAGGTGGGGGGGGAGGGGCAGGCCTGGCTTGCATGTCCGGGGGTGCTGCTGCCCTGGGCCGCGTCTGGGCGCTCACAGACCTTCTCTCCGCAGACGGCAGAGCAAGGCTGCACCCCCGCGAAAAGGCCCCGGAGGGACACAGCCACCCATGGTGCCACGGAGCCCTGGGCTGCTGCCGACACAGGTGGGCGGCTCCATGTCCCCTGCCAGGAGAGCCACGTCCCTCCCCGGGCTCCTAAGGGCTTACCTGGCTGTGCCCGACAGCCGGCGTGTCCGGCTCCACACTGCTGCGTTGTCCTGTTTGTCCCCACTGGGGCTTGAGAATATGCCCTTATCAGGGTGGGGGCGGGGGCTGGAGGGGACACGGGCGCTTGTCTTGCATGCTGCCAACACCAGTCTGTCCCTGGGCACAGAGCCAGGACCACCATCAGGTGTGGCCCCAAACCCAAAATAATTGAATTAGGCCGGCGGGTAGGGAGAGGCGTGGAGGGCTGAGCACGAGCTCGCAGGTTGGAGGCTGGGTTGATCCGTGGCACCGCAGGCTCCAAACCTCCCTGGGCACCACTAGGCTTAGCCCAGAGAAGATGCAAGGCTGGTGGTGAGTGGGCCGGTGCCCACCGGGGAGAGTGGCGCAGGGCAGTGGCTCGGGAGGCGTGAGGGGGTCAGCAGGGCTGCAGCGCCAGGGGACGAGGCAGGCAGCCTGGGGATTCCTGCAGCCTCTTGCTGGCTCCTGAGGGCTCTGGTGTTTTGTGGGTTCTCCCAACAGTGTTTGGGGTCAGTGGTCCGGGGACCTGGCGCCACACCCTGCATTGCTGCCGCTGTGACAGGGTTTTGGGACCTCGCACATGCCGGGGTCCGGTCTGAGGTTCTCTGCCTCGGAAGCTGACTCAGAAGCATGGACTCGCTCTCCGGGTCCCTGCCCTGCAGCGCCAGGACAGCCCCTACACTTGTGACACAAGCCAGCCGCGGACGGGCCCTCACAGCAGGCACAGCGGCCCCTCTCCTTTCCTGCCCAGGCTGACCTCTCATGCCTCTCCCCAGGTCCTGCCAGGGACACCGAGAGTGCCCAAGCCTGCCCCATAGGAGGTGCCACTGGACATGGAGGCGTTCACTACACTGGCCAGCAGCAGATGCCCCCTGCCGACTCAGGAGCCAGGAGTGGCTCTGAACAGCCCCTGGCCCTGCCCTGCGCTGTCCACGCTCCACAGGCTGAGCCAGGGAGGCTGAGTCCAGACCTCACGGGCACCGTCCCCCAGCAGGGAGCCCCCGGCCACTCGCCCTCAGCCGTGGGGGTGCCGCAGGAGGGGACCCCCTGCCCCCACGGCCCTGGCGGGGACCTGCGGGAGACCGTCCTGTCTGTGGATGTGGCACCCGTGTTTGAGCCGGAGCCTCAGATGTCCACAGACGGCCCTCTTGGGAACCACACGGGGCCCCCGGAAGCCAACCAAAGGGTCACCTTGGGGCCCCCCGCTTTGAACTGGACCCCTGAGGTGCTTCTCCTGCGGGGTCCAGCCCCTGGGCTGTCTGGGGGCGACACTGTCACTGCGGGCCAGGTCGGGGGGCCTCCCGGGCATCGGGGCTTACCGGAGGACCCGGCGCCCTCCCAGAGAGGCGAGCGGGAGGTGCTGGGTGGGTTCGTGTGTGTCTGATGTGGGGTCCGCTTTCGGCCAGGCCAGCTTCTCACTGTGAGCACCGACACGAGAGCCTTGATTTATAAAAGCAGCGTCTTTCTGCCCTGCCACCTGCTTTCTCGCTCCCTGCCCCGGCCCCGGGTGCAGCCAGGGCGCTGCTCTGGGTTCAGCGGAGAGGAAAGAGCTGGCCGCGTGGGCGGCGCCTTATAGGGAGGGGAAAGTCGTTCCCACATATGCTTTCTTCAGGGAAAAAAGGCAGAAAAGGCAGGTCTGCCCAGACGGAGCCAGATCCGGGAGGCCCAGGGTCAGCCCATGCGCAGGCGGGGAGCCCGCGAGGCCGTGGGGCACAGCGCCTCCTGCTGGAGCCACACGCGCGTCACCTAGCAGGGTGATTGCACGGCTGGTCTGGCACATCTGGCTTCCCACTCTCAAAGGGGCGGTAGGAGCATGGAGGGGTGGGGGGACACATGAATTACCCTAACCCCAGGGGCCACACGCCCCCCAGCCTGTGGGCCGCATGGGGTCATGTCCCCGGGGTCCCAGACAGATGCTTCGGCACAGTTTCTACACCACAGCTGCTCCGTCGCGGGCGGAACTGCAGGGACGTGGCGGTCCCCGTTAACAACACCGCCCTTTGACCTCACCAAGCTTTTCTGGGAGACACCAGGATGGAGGCGGTTCAGAGCCCCGGAGACACCCAGACCCCAACTGGCCTTACCCAGGGTTGGCGTGGCTCATGCTTGTGGGACTGCTGGACCCATGTCTGCCCCCACATCCGGTTCCATCACTGGGCAGGGTCCAGTGAATCCACCTGAGTAGTGGCTAGGGGTGCGTGTGAAGAGTCCCTGCGTCCCCTGGAACACTGTCTGGGCCCCGGCAGCTGCTCCCTGACCCCCCACAGCTGCTCCCTGACCCCCCCACAGCTGCTCCTCCCCACTCCTCCCCCCTGGACAGCTGCTCCTCCCCCTCCCCCATCCCGGGGCAGCTGCTCCTTCGTCCATCCCCCGATGCACCAAGTTTGTCCACAGACATCCGCCAAGGTCTCAGGCACCATCCCTGAGAGGGGCATAGGGAACCCTCTTTAATGCCCTGAAACTGGCATTTTTGTTTCATTTTGGGGGTTACTTAAAGAAAAAATAACCCACCTATCACGAATTTATTTTGGTTTTGGCCCACAGCTGGCAGCACTCAGGGCGGGCTCCCGGTTCTGCGCTGTTCCCTGGCGTCTCTCTGCTCGCTGGGAGAAGGGCTCGATCCTTCACTGGGGTGGCTGTCGGGGCTGTGGGTGAGCCTGGGCTGAAGGGACAGGGCTCGGGGCCGCCAGCCCGTCTCCCCAAGCCGGTTTCTCTCGCTGAGGCTTCTCCGGCTGGGGTCTCAGTCATGCATGGGCGGCAACTCAACCCCGTCACCTCCCGAGCAGGGCTGCTCCTGGGGAAGTGCTCCTGGCCTCCTGGGAAAGTGCTCCTGGGCTGAGCACAGCCTCACACACAGGCCGGTTTTGCACCTGGGCACGCACCATCCCCCCTGCGCCCTGCTGGCATGAGCCCTCAGAAGCAGGGGCGCCTTACTGGGGTCCGGGCTCAGCAGCCCCTGCGGTGCACTCCCTCAAAGCTGCAGTGCTGCCATGGGCAATCTGAGACCTGCACCCTCCTGCACCCCAAAGCTGCCCCGGCCTGTGCTGCAGGGCGGGCTCGGAGGCTGGAGAAGGGCATGAGGGCCGCTGTGGGATTAATGTAGACGGGGATGGGGGGCGCTACAGGATCGGTGCGGACTCTGGGGGTGGGGGTGGGGGCAAGCACTGCAGGAGTCGGCGAGGACACGGGGTGCAGGAGTCTGGAGCTGCAGAGCTCCGGTGGCCAAACTGGCATCCTGTCACCTCACCTCACTTCGTGTCTGTGCCACCACTCACTTCCCCGACTCAAGAAGGTTTGGGGTGCCCACTCCAGGCGCCCCATCTGTGGCCTCTGGACGAGGCAGGTGCAGCTTGGCAGGCTGGGCGCCCTGCAGGGCTCTCCTCAGGAAACCGAACAGGGGCGTCCCATCCCCCAGAACACTGGCCTGTGTGTGTGGGGTTTATCACCCAGCAACCTGTTCCTGGGGGGTAGTGACCCCGGCACCAGTGTGCAGGGATGTGATTCTTGCTGCTTGGGGAGCAGCGGCAGGATTTGCCCCAGCACCCCTGTTCCTTGTCTGTGGCCTTCTGGCGGTGCTGGGGACCCCAGGCTGTATGTACCTGGCCTCCCTCTCCAGCCCTAGACGGAATAAAACTTGTTTTGTGGCCACATCTGGTGGTGCTCAATGGTCACTCGGCGGGCTCTGGGACCTGTACACCATGCTAACCAAACACCATAACCATACACTGCAGTCCCTTGAATCCGGACACGCCGCACGCAAGGCAAGTGCTCTACCCGCTGTGCTATCACTCTTGTCCCTGCTCTCGGGGGTCCCTCGTGCTAGTGCTCAGAGACCTACAGGGGGCAGGGGCTTGAGCCCAGGTTGGCCCTCTGCAGGCCCCTAGAGAAAGTTGAGAGGCGATTTCCACTTGCATGATGGTACAGTTTAATGGCATGGGAATGCTTTTCGGCTTGTCTGGTTGCGAGGATGGAACCTGGGGTCTCAGGCACGCCTTTGTTCTGCCACGTAACTGGAAGCTCCACTGCACACGTTGGTTTTGGGGGTGGAGCTCTGGTGGTGTCATGGGCTGAGCCAGAGCTCACATGGCATGTGCCACAACCCAGCCCTCCACAGCACTTAGCAAAACCTTTCCCAGGTCTAGAGCCTGGGCAGGCAGGCAGCCGTGACTGGGTCAGCACTGCACAGCCCCTGGGGCACCCCCGGGAGCGGATAGCAGCACTGCTGGGTGTACACCACAGTAACAAAATTGAACAACTTCCCCCTTTCCCTTTTTGTGGCGGGAGGGGACCATTCCTGGTGGGGCTTGGGTGCCAGGGGTCAAACCCGAGTTGGCTGCATGCCAGGCAAGAACCTTACCACTGTACGATCTCTCTGCCTCCCTCTCCGTCCCCTCTGTCCTGACAACCAGGGGTCACACACCTGGTCATTCTATTTCCTGGGAATAGAACTTATAATTCTTTGTTTTGTATTTTTGGGCCGCCTGGCTGTGCTCAGTGCTTACTCCTGGCGTTGCCCAGGAGACCGTATGGGGTACCCAGGATCGAACCTGGGTTAGCTGGGTGCAAGGCAAGTGCCCCACCCACTGCAGTATCGCTCCAGCTCCGACACACTTGCAATGCACTGAACAGAAGCTTTTATTCATCCGTTTCTGTGGGGGTCAACACTGGCAGTGCCAAGAATCAAACCCAGGGCCCAGGAGCTGTCACAGAGCTGCCCACCCTGCTCTGCTGGTCCTGCGCGTTCTCTCGGGGATCGCCGCCTTTGCTGTCGGGGCTCAGTGCCGCCACAGTGGCCCTGCGTGTGTGCAGCTCCTGCGGTGGAACCGAGACCAGGAGCTCTGCGGAGCAGCGTGGCAGGACCTGCCTGGCCTATGTGCCGGGCTGCAAATCCTTGGCCTTGTGCTTCCAAGGCAGGCCCCGCCACCACGTCTCAATAGCTGTCGTACCAAACTAGAACACTCACCCCACAGCAGCAGACAATGTAGAGTGAAAAAAGTACAATCAGTCACTGGCGCTTTCAGCAAACTCACACAGTTCAGGAGACTCAGGCTGGGCAGGCCTGGAGCTCGTGCACCCCGCCAAGTGCGGCTCCCAGTGGCCCATCCCCAGCAGCCCCCAGAGCAGGGTCATGATGCTCGGTGGCCGTCTCCAGCGGCCCCCAGAGTGCGGCTCACGACACCACCGTCGCCAGCAGTTGCCCAGGGCGCGGCTCATGACGCCCCGTGGTCCGTCCCCAGCAGCCCCCAGAGCGCAGCTCACGACGCCCGGTGGCCCGTCTCCAGCAGCATACTCTCCAGCTGCAGCACCGCGTCATTCTCCAGGTAGGGCTGGTGCAGCCACATGGACAGGAAGCTCAGGACCAGGTCGCGGTTGGAGGTGTGAGGCAGCCCCTCGCAGATGGCGCGTTTCAGGAGCAGCTCCTTCGTGTACATGTCACAGAGCGCGCGGGCCACCGTGTCTGCAGGGCACAGGGTCGCCGTCAACAGCAGGAACTCCAGGGTGGGCCTACCTACTCCCCGCAGAGAGGCCACCGGGCACTGCTCCCCAGACAGAGCAGTGTCACCCCTGGGTCCTTATCAGGAGGCTAAGAAGCTCTAGAACCTTCTATGCAAGCCTGTAGTGATTCACCCCCAGGCAACGGTATCTCACTCCCCACCGACCTCACCACAGCCACTTCTTCTCTCACTGCCATGGGGCTGCTCTGGGTGCGCATGCCCGACAGTGAAGGGAGCACTGTGGGACTTGGCCCAGCCAGGAGCAGCACCCTTCTGAGCTAGCTCCATGGCCCCTCCAATTTACTTTAAAGAAAATTTTTTTGGTACATATTTATTCAACACCTTCCACATGGATATTTAAAAAGCAATTTTACTAGTTTTAAAAATATCCTATTTACTTTTTTTTCTTTTTCCTTTATTTGGGGATAACATGCAGTGTTGCACAGGGGTTATTCCTGGCTCATGCACTCAGGAATTACTCCTGGCGATGCTCGGGGGACCATATGGGATGCTGGGAATCAAACCTGGGTCGGCCAAATGCAAGGCAAACAAACGCCCTATCCTCTATACTATTGCTCCAGCCCCCCAATTTCACTGTCACTGTCCTCCCGTTGTACCTCGATTTGCTCGAGCGGGCCCCATAACATTGTGAGACTTGTTACTGTGTTTGGCATATCGATACCTCACGGGTAGCTTGCCAGGCTTTGCCATGAGGGCGAGATACTCTTGGTAGCTTGCCAGGCTCTCCGAGAGGGGTGGAGGAATTGAACCTGGCTCGGCCAGGCTGGCTGCGCGCAAGGCAAACGCCCTACCTGCTTGCTATCGCTCCAGCCCCCCAATTTACTTCTGAGTAAAACAAAAGCATTGGGCCAGAGCGATAGCACGTCAGGGAGGGTGCTTGCCAACTTGGGTTCGATTCCTTTATCCCACATGGTGCCCTGAGCAGCACCACAAATGATCCCTGAGCACAGCGCCAGGAGTAATTCCTGAGCAGAGTTGGATATGGCCCAAAAACAAAACAAAAAAGCAAATCAGGGGCTGGAGTGATAAAACAGCAGGGAGGGCATTTTCCTTGTATGCGGCCGACTTGGGTTCGATTCCCAGCATCCCATATGGTCCCCTGAGCACCACCAGGAGTGATTCCTGAGTGCAGAGCCAGGAGTGACCCCTGTGCATCGCCGGGTGTGACACACACAAACACAATAAAAGCAAATGAACAACAACAACAAAAAAAAAAACCAAAAGGAAAGCTAAAGTTCCATCATTCTTCCTTTACACAAGAAAAACACAAAGGCCGGCAAAGGCTCCTGTGTGCGAGCGGAAGGGCTGACGGCTGCGGCGGGCACTGTGGGCCCCAGTGATGTCACCGCTCTCGGCTGCCTGTGCTAGTCAAGGCCACGGCGTGCTGCCTGGTGCCAGTCTCGGCAACATCTGACAGGACGGGCCCTGGGGTCAGAGCCTGTTGCTGCTTCTCCCCCACCCAGAACAGCAACTCACAGAACTGGGCCGTGGGCCAGGTGTCAAACATGGGAGGCCGGGTCCCCTCCGCCCCGTGGTGGTAGTTTTCCAGCTCACAGACTCCTTTGGTTGTGGAAGTCAGCTTTTCCATTTTCACCTGTATTTTGGTCTGAAAAAACAGAAATTTTTGACAGGATCACTCGGCGTCCACTGGGGCCAGGCCACACATGGGCATCTCCCACTGCACTGCACGAGCTGCTATTTTTAGCAACAGCCCCAAGGCACGGCGCAGGGAGTGCTGGACGACCACCCCGAGGAGCGCTGTGAAGGTGTGGTGAAGAGAAGAGAAATCCGCATCAGAATCTCAATTCTTCACACTTGCCCTTCGACCTTCAACCACAGGCCAACCGACTCCAGGCCACAAGCGCCACATTTAGCTCACATGAATTTTTAAAAGCCTCCTCCCACCTCTTCTGGGTCGATGCTCCACCCTGCCATATCCTCCCGAGAGGCACCTCACAGCTGGAAAATTCTCAAGGTTGCCGTGACTGAGCCCAGGAGCCCGGCACAGCTCTCTTCTCCGCCTTCTGCTGCAGTCACTTGGGGCCACGTTGTTCTCGAGCCGAGAAAGCTGGGAGAGGCTGGCCACAGGCCACCATGCCACACTCAGCAGCCCACATGGGGAGGCTGAGGTGTGTGTGCTGTCGAGCCCGTTCTGCAGCCCACAGCGCCATACAGACCACGCCGAGAGGGCCACCAGGCCTGGGCAAAGAACACCCTCTACCAAGGGCAGATTCATTATAGACAAGGGAGGGGCTGGAGCAATAGCACAGTGGCCGACCAGGCTTCGATTCCCAGCATCCCATATGGTCCCCCGAGCTCCACCAGGAGTAATTCCTGAGTGCAGGGCCAGGAGGAACCCCTAAGCATCGCTGAGTGTGACCCAAAAAGAAAAAAAAAAAAAGGGCCCAGAGCCTACACAGCAGCTGGCACCACAGGGGTACAAAGGATTGAACCTGAGCAGGAGGACTGGATGGACCCAACACCATGCCAGCCCAGGCTATGTCCAAGATGGGAGGTGGGACTAGCCTCTCAGCCTCAGGGCCCTCCTCCCTGAACCCCACCTGCCAGCCTCAGTGCGAGGCCATCAAACACACTGCACTGGGGTGCAGTCCACACTGCCCACGTCCTCTCAGAGCTGTGTACGTGTCAAGACCAGCACCAATTGCACAGCGATGGCAATGGCCCGGGTGACCCTTACCAGCCCATCCAGCGTGGCCTGCAGCTCTTCACACAGCACCTCCAGCTCCTTAGAATATTCTGGAAACACCTTCTCTGCATTTTCAGCGTAAGCCGGGCCTCCACCCTCTAACTCTATCTTGTCTTTATCCCTGGACAGAACAGAAAAGTCACTGTTGAGCTGCCTTGTGCGCAAGGGCAGGAGGAAAGTCCATATGCCCAGAGCCCACTTGAGATCACTGCGCCAGCCTCTTGAGATCACTGCAACAGCCACTCAAGATCACTGCAGCAAGAGTGAGGCCTGGAGGGAAGACTGAGGGAACAAGGAAACTCCAAGAGTCCTTGACAGCACCCAGCACTCAGCCCCCGCCATGCAGATGGCTGGAAAAAAAACCCTATGATCAGCTTTCCAGGGGCCCATCCTCCACCAGGTCACCTGCCTCCTGCTGTGTGTCCTTGCTCCTTAATTACAGCCCGCCCCTCTCTCCATCTCCTGCCCTCTGCTCTGCTGGGAATTCGTCCATTAATACGCCTAACAGACTTCATTAGCTGTCCTCACTACCACGGCTGGGACTAGGGTGGAGGCTGGAACCTTCCCTGCAGAAAGCATCCTCCGGGCTTGGCCTGGGAGCCCCGGCTCTATCAGCACTCGGGAGTGTGTGGCCTTAAAGGCTGCTTGTGAAGGCTGGCAGGACCCTCGGCACCGTCAGGAGCTGGGGTGGACACGGTCAACCTCAGCATCCCGGCAAACAGCAACCACACAGATACCATGTCCCCGAGTCACTTCCCGGCCATCACACACTTCATTTCCCTACCTCCAGGGCCTTCGTTTTCCCCCTTTTATAGGAAATGGCACACACAGTTCTCCGAACACTCACAGTAGACTGAGTTTCAGATTGGCGATACTGTTTGCAGTGGCAAAACCCGTGTCATTGAGGGTTTCCCATTTCAGGATTAAATTATGCCAGTCGGCAGCATTGTCCTTGATCTTTCTTGCACTCACAGATAAGACAGGTTTTCTGGGCGTTGCGCTTCCAGGACTTTTGGCTGAAAGGAAGTAAAGTAAGCAGGACTGTTACAAAACTCATGATCTTGGTTAGGAGGAAAATGTTATCTTTCAACAGTAAACGTCTCTGAAATATTGCTGCAACCGGAATATTCCAAACCGAGACGTGTACATGGACACGGAAGTTTCTGGAATAATACTTTTTGCAGGGCGGGTACTTTGGGGCCACACCTGGAGATGTTCGGGGGTTATTCCTGGCTCTCTACTCAGGAGTGACCACAGGAGTCTTGATACACTCATCTGTGAAGCGGGGGCTCAGGGGGAGCCTCAGAAGAGACACAACAGGACTAGGTAAGGGCTGGTGCATAGCAGTGTCTGGCGGAGTCAGCTGTCGGCGGAGCAGAGGGTGCCTTCCAGCAGTGGATGCCAGAGCCAGCACCAGCACCCCGGCCACAGCGTAGGTCCTTCCTGCCCCTGCCTGGATGCCTATGCAAGTCCAGGCTGTCACTGGTCCCCCTGCTGCTGACCCCTTCCTTGGGTTCAATCAGAGCAGCTCACGGGACCCAGGGGAACAGGTCACTGATAAGAAGAAGAGGTCTGCAGTCAACTCAGGGCAGGAAGCGTGGGAGAAAGGGGTGAGGAGGGTGAGGAAGAGAGACCCTCTGACCCCCAGGCCGCCACTCTCTCCCACAGACCTGGAAACGCCACCCCCAGGGGTGCTGGGGAGGGATCAGTCTTGGCAGTGCTCGAGGGACAATGGGGTGCGGGATCAAGCCTGGGGCTCCTGCATAAGAAGCCCCTCGCCCCTCAGTTCTCTGGGCCACCTCCCTGGCCCCTGCGGAGTTCTGCATGGACTCCATGGCCAAGTCACTGGCCACTGGTGACTGAGGGGGCCTCCTGTCCCCCTGCAGGCGAGTCCAGCCCTCCAGGGCAGGGCCGGGTCCTGGCAACCAGTCCTGTCCTTGGGCAATTCAACTGTCCAAGGACACCTCATAGGCTCCCCTGCACAACACCAGGAGCTTTTTTCTTAGCGCAGAGACAGGGGTTACACCTGAGTCATGTGTAAACCCCAAACAGAACAAAATAAAAAAGTGTCTCACACATAACAAAGACAATTTTAGCACCCTTCACTTAGGCTAGCACAAGGCTTAGCTCAGAGCCAGACATCACAGCCCTTTCATCGGGGACAGGGGTGGGGGGCTCCACCTAGCAGTGCTCAGGAGCTGTTCTTGGCTCTATGCTCAGAAGTGACCCCTGGCAGTGCTTGATCCACACCTGTGATGCCTGGATCAAACCAGGCTGAGTGGGATATAAGACAAGCGTCTGAAGTAACACGCCACCCCTCCGGCCATATCACTGTCATTCTCCCCAAGTCCTGGCCATGGGTTCCAGCGCGACCACTTCCTTCCACTCCTCTGTGCTGCACAAGCACTGATTTGGACCTGGAATGTCACCTGCTTTACTCCTTAGCGTTTCCCTGGGCTGCGCGTTCTCAGGCTGCTGAGCAACCCTCGCTGGGGAGGGAGTCAGCCTGGGCCATTCTCAGGCAACTCTCTCTCCAGAAACGAAGCACAATGAGGTGAGGAGGCCTCAAACAGGGGTAGGAGAGAGAAGGGGACCACAGAAGGGCATCGTTTACCTGACAGTGAATGATGAGACGCTAGGGAGGGATGGCAGGGATGCGGAACCACGAGACCAAGGAAGACCTTGGGTTACATCACAGTGGACACATGAGCGTGCACGCACACACACACACACGCACACGCACACACACACACACACTTGCTCACATTCACACAGGCCCAAGACACGCAATACAAGGAAAGGGGAGTTGGCCATAGTACAGTTAAGCTTCTTGAGGCAACTGGGACCCGTCTGACCCCTACCACCCCGTCTGGTCCCGCCCCCTGCCAGGAGTGATCCCTGAGCACAGAGCCAGGAGTCAGCCCCGAGTGCCGCTGGGTGTGCCGTTCCCCAGCCACCCCCCAAGTAAGGCCAGCGTGGCAGATGTAAGGGGCAGCAGAGGAGGGTGGCGAGGAGGCTGCGGCGCAACCCGAGCCTTCCAGACCCCAAAGAGAAGCTCGGCCTCCTCCGTCTCGGGGCAAGGGGTCTCGAGCAAGAAGAGACAAGACCTGGTGCAGCTCAGGGTCGCTTCGGGCGTTTTCCTCGGGGCCACACTGGCCTGCGGACCCCCCGCCTGTCCGACAATCTCGGACTTCTCCCCCCAGGGAGGCCCCCGCGAGCCCCTCTCCCCGCCCCAGCGCCCGCACGTACTCGCCATGCGGCTCCGCGGGGATCCCGGGAAGGAGACCCGCGGCCCGCCCCGGAAGGAACGTCACTTCCGGCCCGCCCCCCAGCCGGCCGCTCTAGCCCCCGCGGGAGCGCGGCCGCCCCCGGAGGCCGGCCCGTCGCCCAGGGAACCGGCTCCCGGCAGCCCCCGCGCCGCCCAGCCCAGCCCCGCCTCCTCCGGCCCGGCTGGGCCGAAGAGTCCGGAGGGGCCGCGGCGGAGGTGAGTCCGGCGCCCCGCGCCCCTGCCTGGGCTCCCGCGCGCCCGGCCGCGCCGCCGAGCCTCGGCGCCCCAGCCCCTCAGCGCGTCGCCCCCGCGGCTCCCCGGCCCCCGGCCCCTCGGCGCCTCGCCCCCTCGGCCCCTCAGCGTCCCGACCCTCAGCCCCTCAGCGCCTCACCCCTCGGCCCCTTAGCTCCTCGGCCTCTCGACCCCTCAGTGCCTCACTCTTCAGCCCCTCGCCCCTCGGCCCCTCACCCCTCTGCCCCTCGCCCCTCGGCCCCTCACCCCTCAGCCCCTCAGCTCCTCAGCCCCTCAGCACCTCAGCGCCTCACCCCCTCACCCCTCAGCCCCTCAGCCCCTCAGCGCCTCACTCCCTCACTCAGTCTCTCAGCCCCTCACCCCTCAGCCCCTCAGCCCCTCAGCGCCTCACCCCCTCACCCCTCAGCTCCTCAGCCCCTCAGCCCCTCACTCAGTCTCTCAGCCCCTCACCCCTCAGCCCCTCAGGCGCCTTCGGCCCTTGTCGCCACTTTCCCGGGCGGCCGGCGAGTGGGGTGAGTGGGCGGCGCGTCCCGGGTGCCCCCGCGACCCCTGGAGCGCCCAGCCGGGGCCTCCCCGCGCACCCCACCCCGCCGCCGCCAGCGCCCCCGAGCTGCTGCCCCGGCCGGGCACCGGGCACCCGGCAGGTGGGGCTGTGCAGGTGCCACGTCCGTCCGCGGGCGCGGGGTGTCGGGTGTCCGGGAGCCGGCCGCCACCCCCGCGTCATTCATTCGGAGCTGCCGCTGCTGTACCCTGACGGGGGCAGAGAGTGGGGGCGCGCCGCCTGGGCTGGACTTCCAGCTGGCACGGGTTTAGTGAGTGCCCAGGGACGAGCCCCAGGAAGCCCCAGGCCCTCCCGGGGGACGCCCCCCACCCCGCGACTCCCTTGGCACCCGCCCGCACCCCCGCCGCAGTGCTCGATGAGTCTCCCGGCTTTTTTGGGTGCCCCGCCACCTGCCATGTGCGCGCATCCAGCAGGCTCCGTGGGTGCCGCCGTGGGTGGACAGTCGCTTCTGGGTTCCAGGGCGCTCAGCCAGTGGAGGGGCCGCTTTTGCAGCCTGGCTTGAGGAGCTCTGAGGAGTGTCCACGATGCCCCTGCTCTGTGGCCACGCTGCCTCTGCCCCCCCCCCCACCCGCAGCGCCCGTGCCCTTTCTCTCCGACAAGTCACACGGCACCGCAGCTTCTGTGTTGGCACAGAAGCTTCGGAAGTTCGCGCGACTCGGGAAAATGAGGCGTCGACCAGGAACCAGTTTCCTTCCACCCATTAAAAGCGAACCCTTAGCCAGAAACGCCTACAAACTTTCAGCCTTACCTGGGGTTCCACTCCCCGTCTCTCGTTCCTGGGGCTGCCATGGTGTGAAAAGCAGAAAGGGATGTTTGGACTTGGCAGTGAGAAGCACGGGGTCCTCCAGACCGTTGTACCTGGACCGTTGTTGTTTGTCTTTCCCCAGCCAGAGGGTGTGGCGGCCCAGGTCAGCGGAGGCTGGAGCCGGGTTTAGAATAAATCACCTCTTGTCAAAAGGGCTCTTGTCTGCGATGGTTCGCCCAACTGCAGGCTAATATCCGTGTTCTGAGCACATTTGCGGTGAACAGGGCGGAGCTGTGGCTGTGATGTTTTGTAGATTTGCTTCATTTTGTGCTTTTCCTTTCAGTCTCTGAAGGGGTCCCTGGGATCAAAGCGGGGCTTCGTGATTTTGAGATGTGGGCTATGCCACTGAGCTCCACCCCAGCTTTAAATGCACTATGGACTTAAGGTGTTTGCAGAGTATGTCTGTACTGTTGCAAGTCAGGGAAGCTCTATGCATGCAAGGAAACAAATGTTTCTGAGCCAGAGATAGGACAGTGGATAGGGCACTTGCCCTGCACGTGGCCATCCTGGGTTCTGATCCCTTGCATATATGGTTCCCTGCCCTCCCCCAATTCCCTGCCAGGAGTGATCCCTGAGCACAGAGCTAGGAGTAAGACCTAAGTGCCCCTGGGTGTGGTCCAAAACCAAAACAAGGAAAACAAGCATTTTTGCGAGGCAAGAGAGATTTCTCAGTATGTAGGAGTTTGGGATCTGGAAGAGCTACTGGTTGGGAGGTAGGAGAAGTGGGAAGGCACCCTGGCAGCCACACAGGCCCTATTGTGCTCTGGGTGGTCGCAGGCCCCCTGTGCCCACTCAGCTGCAAGCTGACTGGCTTTCCGTCTGGGGCTGAGGGCACTGGCACCACAGGGCATGTAATCTGGGAAGTGGCAGATATCTAGAAGTTAAGCAACTGCCTCTTTCTACTTTCTACTTGGGTTCAGCAGGAAGATTATAACCCTTTCATAATCAGGGTCGCAGTCTACCTTTAAAAATAGGTGGTTCAGAGGGGTGGCGGGGAGGGAAGTGGGGTCATCGGTGGTGGGAAATGTACAGTGGCGAAGGGTCAGGTATTGAAACAGTGGTATGACTGAAACCCCAATCAGGAACAGTCTTGTAACTCTGTATCTCATGGTAATTCAGTAAAAAAAAGGGGGGGGGAGAGGGAGGGGACCAAAACAAACAAAAAATAGATGGTTCAAGGGGAGGTGGCTGTTGTCACTGTCTGGAGGGTTGAAAGAGTTAGTTTTGCCTCTTCTAGGTAAGGTTTCCTGTCTGCAGGTCATCCAGAATGCGCCTTGGGGTCGCATGTGCCAAGGTCTGCAGTGGAGCTTGTGTGTGGTAGCTGAGCCTAGCTCCCCTTTGCTGGGCCACTGGGTCATGTGTGTTTGGGACAGGTTTGGTGAGAAAACATGGGTCTTCAGTTCTCTGGTAGAGGGAGACCTTGGAGTAGAATTGTGGGTCATGGGCCAGAGCAATAGGTGAGGGGTCAGGGTGCATGTCATGGCTGTTGTAGGTTCAATTCCCAGCATCTCATTGTCCCCTGGGCCCTGCCAGAAGTGATCCCTGAGCCACACTGGGTGTGACTCTCCTCCCCCCACCCCACTCCCTGCCCTCTCCTATTGAAAGAAGGAAAAAATTGCTGGGTCACAGGTGACTCTCAGTGGCTGTCCCTGTTTCCAACCGGCACTGTGGCTAGGGCTGGTTTCTCCACTCTCATGATCCTGTCTATTGATTGTGAAGGAGCTTCTCGAAGTTTTGTTTTCACTTCCTGAGGATTAACCATGGAGAGCATCAATCCAGAAGCTCCGTGTCACACAGGTTTTCTTTGAAGTGTCTGTTCACATTCTGTGCCTATGAAAGTTTTTATTTGATGACTGAGTTTCAAGAGTTCTCTTTTATCACCTGTGATGTGGGGGGTTTTGGCACTGGCATCAGAGCTCATACAGTCATGGCGTGGGAGCAAGGATCTAGGGCAAGTGGGGCTGTGGGAGTACTTGGGTGCTGGGGAAAGTTCAGGCCTGGTGCCCAGCCCAGGGGAGAAGGCTAGGTGCCAGGTTGCTGAGGAGATGGAGCTGAAGGATTGATTGTTGGAGGATAAAGAAAGGGAGAAGGCAGCCTGAACACAAGGAGGCCACCTCACACAGTTTGGACTGAAATTGGATTATGCTGTCTGTGATCAGCCACAGAATTGTGATCTTTGTTGTTTGGTGTGGATTGAGTAGGGGATCCCCAAGCAGTGGAAACTTAGCAGGCAACACTTAGCAGGCAGGACAGTGCTGTGGTCTGGAGGGCAGTGCTATTTCCCCCACCCCTACAGCTATTCCCCCACAGTGCTGGGGTCTCACAGTGCAGGGCTGTTCCCCCACAGTGCTGAACCTATGAGTGCAGCACTGTCTGGGCTTGAGTCTTCCTTAGCTCATGGTGCCTAGGGTCAAACTTGGATCTGGGGCATCAGAACAATCTCTCCTAACCTTTGTACTATCTCCTCAGAGCCTAAAATGTGATTTTTTTTTTTGGAGAGGGGCACACTCGGTTATGCTCAGAGGTTATTCTTGGCTCTGCATTCAGGAGTCACTCCAGGCGGTGCACAGGGGAACATATGTGATGCCAGGGATCCAATCTGGGTCAGCCACGTGCAAGGCAAACATATTACATTCTGTACTAGCACTCCAGTCCCAGGATGTGATTATTTTTAATCCTGCTGAAGCCCTGAACTCCTTCCTTACATATTTTGTAGTTGATTTGGTTCTTATTATCACTGTGTCAAGAGTATGGTCTAGAACATTCAACCCCCTTGAGTTGGAGTCAGAGAGAGCGCAAGGGGTAAGTGCTTGCCTTGCAAGTAACCGACTCCGATTCCATCCCTAGAACTGCATGGGGTCCCTCAGACACTGCTGAGTGTGGCCCCAAACCAATAAAGAGTTGAAAAATCTCAAATATTGTGAACAACTTTATAAAATTTTTAAAAATTACCAAAAGGAAACAAAAAGAATTTAAAAAATCTCATCACGCGGTCCAGGACAGCTGTAAAGGTTGGAGCACACGTGCCTGAGAGGCCCAGATTCAATCCCTGGCACCCAGGTCCCCCGTGCAATGCTGGGTGTGCCTTGGGGCTGTAACTGGATGTAACCCTTGCCCACGGGTGTGGCTCAGAAGCCCAAACCAAAAGGTTCTGGCATGGCACACCTGTGAGCTGTGTTAGTTCCCGATGGTGCCTGGCCTGCTGATGGGTCCCTCTGTAGCGCAGGGGCCCCTCCAGCCTTACTTCTGAGCTGGAGTGTGGAACGGATTGGCTGCCCAGAGCTGAAGTGCTGCTGACTGAGCTCTGCGGCTACTTAGCATATTCATCGGCTTCCATGGGCCTCTGCTCTTCCCGCTGTCACTGTCATTCGGGCCTGGCAGATGCTGGGTGTGTTGGGCAGTCCGAGGGGCCTTCCTGAGCCCTGCTATACCTGCTGTGTTTTGGGTGCTGAGTGAATATCCGGTCGGCCACAGTCATGGTGCCTGAGTGCTGACCTATGTTCTCCTGCTCTATCGTCGGGGACACTTTCCTCATATGCGGGCAGGATCTTGGGCTCTTCCATACTAGGATGGCCGTCAGCAGCCCAGAGTGTTGCTGTCCTCACAGTGTCCTTGTGTCCCAGACTCACCTGGTTGGCCTAATGGCCATTGTCTTTTCCTCTGGTGGCCGGGTCCTGTGAGCCCTGCACAAATCCAGGTCTCTACTGCATTGTGTCCCCTCGGGCAGCTCCAACCCCTAGTACCTCCTGCTGGAAGCGGGACTGCCAGTGCTCGGCTTTGCCCCCACTGACCCTGTGCCCTCGCCGCCTTAACTGTCTGAGCTGGGGAAGTGGGACTCTGAGAGGGCTAGAAAAGGGGGACTAGCTGAGCAGGACAGGCCTGGGCCAAGCCTCGAGCCTCCTCGCCCGCCTGCCGCCATCACTTGCGCCTTCCCCACACTTCCTGTTAGTGGCCATTGGTGTTTATCACTTCCTGAGCACTTCCTACCGACTTGACCCTTTTCTGGGTGCCAGGGCTGGAGGGGTGACGGGGCACCCAGAACAGCAGCAGGGTTGCCTGAGCAGGCTTGTCTGCTGTGAAGGTGGAGGAGGGGAGTGGTAAGTGCTGTGGAGTTGGCTGCTAAGGGAGGGGCTTCCTGCGGGGACCCCGGTCCAGGCCGGGGAGTGAGGCGCCCCCTGGAAGATTCTGCCTCCCTGCTGGGGAAAGGGCGCAGACTAGCAGGGAGGCGCCCAGCTCAACCTGCAGCCCTCTACCCTCGTCACCTCCATTGTCTTACCCGGAAGGGTGTGCATGAGACAGAGCACCGCAGACTATGGCACGGCCCTCGGGGAAAACACGGGGACACTGCCAGCCCGGCTCTGAGGGTTGAGGGGCTGCTGGTGGCGCCAGCGGGTGTTTCTCACCCACTCAGCATCACGAGCAGATTTCTCGGCCAGCTCGCTGGGTGCAGAACCACGCCCGCTTCCCTCCATGCCGCCTCCTGGTGGAGCCTTCCCCGCACCCACCGGGCTACTCTCTCAGATCCCCTTCAGATCAGCGCCTGGTGACAGCGTGCTTGTCTCACTGTTTCTGAGTGTAAACTACGGGGCCCTGGATATGTGAAGAGTATATTGGATTAAAATGCTCAAAAGTCATCTTCCTGCTTGTTTGGGGCCCACACTGGCAGTGCACAGGAGCTGTTCTGTCTCTCCAGAGTGGGACCCAGGGGCTGTTCCTGGTGTTGTTCTGGGAACCTTGTGGTTCAGGGGGTCAAATCCATGCCTCCTGCATGTAAAACAAATGCACTATCCCTTTGGGCTCTCTCCCTGCGCCCTCCACGTGAGCTTTATAATGCCTGCTTTTCTTTCCCGATTTAATTAAACTCTAGCTGTGTGCGTCTGTGTGTGTGTGTGTGTGTGTGTGTGTGGTTTCTCTTGGGCATGAGCAGACATTCAGAGGTGCTCATGCCTCATTTCGCCCTAGGTGCCCAGATGCCAAGAAAACACCTTTCCTGCCTGAAGATCCCTGGCGGAGGGCTGGGCCATGGCGTCCCCATCAGACCCCGTCACATTTCGAGAGTTCTGTCCTTTGTACTATCTGCTCAATGCCATCCCCACAAAGATCCAGAAGGGCTTCCGCTCACTGGTGGTGTACCTCACAGCCCTGGACGCCAACGGGGACTATATTGCCGTGGGCAGCAGCATCGGCATGCTCTACCTGTACTGCCGCCACCTCAGCCAGATGAGAAAATACAACTTTGAGGTGAGTCCTCTCTTCTGCATACCTGGGTCACCGCTGCCCGGGGCTGCACTGGCCCAGTCTCTGCTGCTATGTCCTGCTCAGACAGGGCACACCCCTTTCATGCCACCTTTCCCAGAGATGGAAGCTGATTGAAGCAGCAGTTTGCTCATCCTTTCCGACCGCTGAGAGGACATTTTAAGGCATGAATGTAACAGAAGCCATCATTTCTGAAAGCACTCTGCCTCACTCTCTTACTCTCCGCTGTTGTCTTCCTTTGCATCAGACCACTTCTGGGGAGCACGCAGCTGGTGTTCTTGCCCCTCTGTTTGCCTCGTTAGACACTCAGGTATCTGGTAGGTGGTGGGCACCATCACCAGCTTGCCTGCTTAGGCTGTAGTAGCTCTCCGTTGTGAGGCCCTGGCTTCTGTGACCAGCCTATGGCTTTTACTGCCAAGTCTTGTGGGGTCCTCTCTCTGCTCTGAGGCTTTTATATTTAAGAGAAACATCAGTATTTTAGTTATTAAAGTCCTGGGGTTTTCATACTTTTGGGGGATGGGGGCATACTTTGGCAGTACCTGTGCTCGCTGGTCCTGGTGTTGCTCAGGGTCCACCATAGCGCCATGCATTAAACCTGGTCAGCCATGTACAAGACCAGAATCTTTCCTGTCTCTCCAGGGAGGGACTCAAGTTGGCCATCTCTCCAGTCCCCTAATGTCCTCACTTAAAGTTAACTTTTCATAAATCTCTATATTTAATTTGGAAAAAAAAGGGTGCCGGAGTAATAGTGCAATGGGTGGGGCACTTGCCTTCCACATGGCTGGCCCAGGTTTGATCCACGGTACCCTATATGATCCTTTGATCCCTGAGTGACCCCTGAGTGCCAGGAGTAAACCCTTGGTACTGCTGGGTGGGTGTGGAACAAAAATTAAAAAAGAAAAAAGAAAAGAAAGCTCTGTAAGACAAGGACTGTCAACTCCAGGCCAGGGAGATAGTACAGGGGGCTCTTGCCTTGCTTGCAGCAGAGCCTGGTTTGCTTCCTGGCACTGCCTAGCGCTCCCCAAGTATCACCAGGAGTGATCTCCAAGCAGAGCTGGGAGTAGGCCCTGAGTATGTCCGGATGTGGCCAATTTCCCTGGCCCTCCCAGCCACACAAACACAACATAAGAGAGAAAAAAAGATTTTTTGTTTTGTTTTTGTTTTGGGGCCACACCCAGTGACACTCGGGTTACTCCTGGTTCTGCACTCCGTAATTACTCCTGGGTGCTCAAGGGACCACAAGGGATGTGGGAGACTAAACCTAGGCAAGCACCTTCCCCACTGTACTATTCTCTGACCCCTGAGAATTTCAGCTCTGGCTTTTTTTTGGGGGGGGTTATCTTTTTATTATTATTATTATTATTATTATTTGGTGAGGGAAAGTTTGGTTTTGTTTTTTGTTTTTGTTTTTTGTTTTTTTGCAAGGGCCTATTATATCTCTCCAGGCCCCCTTAAAGTTTTTTACTGCAATAAAAGTATCTCTTGAGAAAGAAGAAAAAAACGGATATTCTCAAATGAAAGAAAACTCAGGAGATTTGTTGCTCTTTGTTTTAGAAAATAATTGCTTCAGGGATTTCTTATGATAAAAGGACAATGAGACCAGAAGGAAACTTGGGACATCTGTAATGATGGCAGAGCAACAGATAGAATAGATGATTTTAGTACTCCTAGTACTCTGCTCATTTTAAAAAATCTCTTTGTCTGGAGGTTTTCCCTCTGGCGGGGGAAACCAGAGCGATGGTACAGTGGGGAGCACATTTGCCTTGCACACAGCTGACCCAGGTTCGATGTCTGCAGGGTCCCCTGAGCACTGCCAGGAGTTGAGTACAGAGTCAGGAGTGACCCTTGAGTGTCACCAGGTGTGACCCTCCCCTCTCCCCCCCAAAAAAGAAAACAAAAAAATGTTTTTTAAAATGTATTTGATAGGCACCAGAAAAAATTGTAACATCATCTGAGTTTTCGGTATGTGTAGAACAGTAATATAAGGCAACTATACATAGGAGGGTGGCGTATAATGGATAGAAGGGATCTATATCCTGGTAAGGTTTTCACAGTTTGCTCAGAGGGAACATAGGTAAAGGTAAAGGTAAAGGCCCTCCCGTTGATCATCGATTTGCTCGAGTGGGCCCAGTAACGTCTCCATTGGAGACTTGGTTGTAACTGTGTCTGGCATATTGAATACTCTTGGTAGCTTGCCGGCTCTCCGAGGGGCGGAGGAATCGAACTCGGGTCGGCCATGTTGGCTTCGTGCAAGGCAAACGCCCTACCGCTGTGCTATTGCTCCAGCCCATATTGATCATAAATAAACTTTGAAAAATAAATGATATAAATATATGTACACACATATACCATAGGGTAAGCACTAAAAAATAGCAGTTCAGCATGGGGCTGGAACGATAGTACAGAGGGTAGCGTGCTTGTCTTGCATGTGGCCGACCTGGGCTTAATCCCTGGCATTCTATATGCCCTCACTCCCCAGCACCGCCAGGAGTAATCCCTGAATGCAGAGCCAGGAGTAACCCCTGAGCTTTGCTGGTGTGGCCTAAATAGAAAAATGAAATTGTACAGCATGATTTCAAAAGATCACTGTAGATAAATAATTTTGTGTGTGTGTGCTGGGGATTGAACCCAGGGTCTCTACCACTAAGCTAAATCCCTTATCCCCAAAATGGAAATTTTTTTTCATTTTGGGTCACACCTGGCAATGCACAGGGGTTACTCCTGTCTCTGCGCTCAGGAACCACCCCTGGCAGTGCTCAGGGAACCATATGGGATGCTGGGAATCGAGCCCGGGTCGGCCATGTGCAAGGCAAACACCCTACCTGCTGTGCTATCACTCCAGCCCCTCAAAATGGAATATTTTGGAGGGGGTTGGGGCCACACCCTGTGATGAGAAATATCTGGAATCACCTCTTTGTTGTCTTATAGTTGACTCTATATCTAAAACAAACTCAGGTTGAGGCCTGTGGGTGACTCAGTATGGAAAACGCCTGCTCTGCAGATGTGAAGCTGAGAGTTTGATCCCTGTGGCTGCCCACGTATGCTGAGCCTGGTTCTGTTAGCTCTGCAGTCGGGAGGCTCTGGCACAAGCGGTGGGGAGAAAGACTCAGTTCAAGCATGATGTCGTAAAAGTAACTAGTTGAAGAGAGGCTTGCTCGTAAACACTGATCAGAAGGAAGTCGGAGTGGTGGTAATAATATCAAAGTAGTCTTGTGAGTCAAGACAGAATCAGGCTGAAGAGCAGCGCTTCCTGGGGTAGTCTGCTTGGCCGGAAAGACACAGCAGAGCTTGACAGCCCCAGTGGCAAATGATGTGGCGAGGGAGAAGCAGCAGCCGTGTCTGTAGGGGACATGGGTGCCCTGCCAGCTGCGAGTGGCAGGAGTCGCCCACATCATTGCTGAAGACCGTCTCTGTAGGGCTTCTCCATGGCTACCCTCGGTCATGCAGCACAGGCCAGAGGTCAGAGTCGAGCTGGCTCTCCCGCCCTGTGTCTCACTGTGTTGTTTCTCACCTTAATTAGTGCCTGAGTCTCCTAAGTGTACAAATCTCAAGGGAACACCTTGATGAACTGGCACCTGTGCTCACCTGTGGCATCACCCAGTCAAGACATGGAGGGGCTGGAGCAATAGTACAGCGGGTAGGGTGTTTGCCTTGCACACGGCCGACCCGGGTTCGATTCCCAGCATCCCATATGGTCCCCTGAGCACTGCGAGGGCTAATTCCTGAGCGCAGAGCCAGGAGTAACCCCTGTGCATCGCCGGGTATGACCCAAAAAGGAAAAAAAGAAAAAGACATGGATTGTGTCCTGGGAGTCTCCTGTGCCCGAACGTGCTCCTCTCACTTCAGATGCCTCGGCTATCGTTCCCGCCACCGCAGCCATTGGTGTTCCTTAGAGCAAAATTTCATTGATTGCCATCTTATTTAGTTAGTTGGATTTTTGGATCACATGTGGCATTGTTCAGGGGTTACTCTTGGCTCTGCTCTAGGGAGTCACTCCTGGTGGGTCTCAGGGAACCATATAGGGTGTCAGGGATTTAACTGAGGTTGCCCATCTGCAAGGCAAGCACCCTACCTGCTGTACTATTGCTCTGGCTCCACGATCACCATTTTATTATTCCCAACACCCACCCCTCCTCACCATTTTTAAAATCTATATGGCCATGTGTACAGCCACCAAACTAAAATGACCCTTAAGTTAAAGAAAGGAGAAATGCCTTCTGCCAGGTTGGTAGTTTCACCTGGACCGACAGCGTCTAACCTGAGTTTGTGTGTGTGTCATCAGAGGTGCCTGCGGAGTGCTCTGCATTAGGACAGGCTCCGCAGGACTGCAGGGTTTGGGGTACCTGGTACAAAGGACTGGAGCCCTGGTCTAGAAGGGGAATCTTGCAAGGTCCTATGTGTGTTTAGCTGCTTCTCCTTTACCAGAGACCTTGAAGAGAAACCAGAGTCCATGCCGGACCGCCCGAGCTTGTAAGGAACTTATGAGCAGCCACTGAAGTAGAGAGCACAGACTTAGGGTGACTGACAGAGGAAGCAGGAAATGAAAGCTCTTCTTAGAAAGAACACAGGAGTTGGGGTCTGGAAGCAAAGCTGAATGTCTGAATCATAAAACAAAGCTGTGGAGGATCATTTCTAAGGTTTCTATCATAATTAACTCTTGAGGTAGGGATAGAGAATGGGCCAGAGGATGAACAGGGTTTTAGGGTTTGGGAAATATCCCTTCAGCACTCAGGGTCTGTCCTGGCATGTTGAAATATCCCTTCAGCACTCAGGGTCTGTCCTGGCATGTTGAAATATCCCTTCAGCACTCAGGGTCTGTCCTGGCATGTGAATTCTTGGGGTTAGTGTGTGGGATCCAACCCAGGCCTCCCTTTTCTGTACAAAGCACTGGTTGAACTCCACAAGAAGAAAACATCCAGCCCCATCAAAAAATGGCGCAACGAATTGAATAGAAACTTTCTCAAAGAAGAAATCCAAATAGCAAA